TCGACTACTTCCTTCCTAATATTGTAAGCAAGACAAGAATGTCAATGTCCTCTGCTGCGACAGTTACGTAATCATAGAGTTGGAATTCAGCAAGCGCAGAACGGATGATGACTTGTTGATAGGACATTATCAACACTACAATTCACTTCTGATAGAGCAGTTTTGAGTTTGTCTATTAGTTTGAATTTTTCTTTTCTTTACCAATAAAATACTTTCTAAGGCTTAAGAAATGTAACATTTCTATGGACTATAAATCTTTAATTTCATTTATTTACATCTTTTTTAGAGGAAGTAGCATCTAAGAGGGTGAAGTTTTCGAGACAATTCTGGAGTGTAATTTAAAAACTTAACTAAGATGATGTGCAGCTGTTTGCGGTTTATCTTCACTACTGTTAGCCCAATCATCATGTTATTTTCTACTAGGACATCAGAATTAATCTGATTTTTAAGTTTTTAGAGAGTTTCTTATTTTATAACGCACTGTTAGATTTACTTTTATTGATTTGTTTCTTTAAAAAAAATTATTGATAATTTTTCACACTTATAATATTAATCAAACCTGTAAGTGGATGATGAATATTAAATTAAAATATATGGGTTTTGAACATCCTGTATTTTATCGTAAGAGAAAACCACAGACAGATATGTTGTATTTGATAATTGTGTTGTTTCGTTAGTATTTGTGGATATGTTGCAGACATAATTTCTGATATATATTAAAAAAAAACTACTGTTAAAATATTTATTATTAAAAATCAATGTGTATGTTCGGTTCAACGGTGTATACTAAAGATGTTTCAAGAGTTATGCTCAAATTCTGGAAGGGTATGTATAAAAAGACAGTAGATAAAAAAGAAACGTACCAAGTGTCATTATGTCATTCACATATCTGATCAAGTTTGGTCCCATGTGGCTTAAAAATTTCAACCGTTATTTGGGCGTATTATACCAGCAGTCTTAAAAAAACAGATTGTTACTATGTTATTTTTTATTAAAAAAGAGCTATGCATTTATAGATTATTAAAACAATGTTATTCATATAGATATGTAGATGATTTTTTACCGCATCTCACAATATAACAGTGATATTCCCTAGTTTCAAAGTAGAGTAGTCTAGTGGGCTGTTATGCAGTTCATATATTCCCGAACCAGGTCTTCTCAGTTCACTTTTGTATTTATTCTAATCGTGTTCTCCAAAATCTTTAGGAGTATTGTGTTATGCCTTAAACTAAAGAGAGTTCATGCAATAACGACCGAGAAGACCTTTCATTCTGATATTGTATGTCCTCCTCTGCCGGATCGTGGCGTCCAAAAACCACCATCAGTAATATTTCTTGACTGTTGAGTTCTATGTTAATTATACTCAGAAAAATTGGCTGGTTTTCCGTTGCCTTCCGCAATGATTTTACTTTCATGTTAGGGTTACAACTGGAGATTAAATAGGATGTGTAAGAATTTGAGGTAATTTGAAGGAGAGCTATGTTGGAACATGACTTCTATCTATAAAAAAATTGGGAGATAATTATGGCTTGTGTGGGCAGAGTCGCGTCCCTGAAATAGTTCTGTCGTATAACAGGATTGTATAAGAGTATTCATCCACTACTCCGCTGCTTTTTCCTACATACTACAATTGATATCCTTCACCTAGTGCTTTTTCCCTTTGTCTTTTGCACCTCGTCTTTTAAATACAGGCAATTTGTACTCTTCTTTTTTTAAGTTTATTAATTAACTGACACTTGCACTTACCTGTAAGACCTTTAAGATTTTAAGACCGTATCCTGGTTTTTTCATCCTCTTATCGTATTGTTTTTCTTCTTATTCTTCAGCCTCAAATAATTCAACTTTGGACATAGGCCTCCACCAAATCAATCCAGTGTCTTTTATTTTGCCATACTTGCTTTCAGTTGTGTCCTCCGATCTTCTTAATATTATTCACCCATTTCATTTGTGGTCTTCCTCTGCTTCTCTTTCCTAACCATGGTCTTCATTATTGTATTTCGTGATTCCATCTCTTATCCTTCAGTCGGGCATTGTGTCCTGCGAAGCTCCATTTTAATTTAGTAGCGTGTTCTACTGCGTCTTTTACTTTCGTTTGGATTCTAATCCATTTGTTTGTTTTTTTGTCTATAAGTCTCACCCCAAGCATTGATCTTTCCATCGCTTTTGTGCCTTTACTATTCTATCCATGTTAGACTTGGTGAGTGTCCACGTCTGTGAGCCATACGTAAGTATAGGGAAAATACTTCTTCTTCTTATGGTGCCTATCCGTTACGGATGTTGGACACTAACATAGCTATTCTGACTTTGTTGACTGCTGCCCTGAAACGTCCGGTAGTGTTTAAGTTAAACCACTTTCGTAGGTTATGCAGCCAGGATATTCTTCTCCGTCCTGACCTCTTTTCCCATGCACTTTACCTTGAAATATGGTCCGAAGTAGGTCATATCGTTGATCATTGCGCATTATATGGCCCAGGTATTCTAGTTTGCGATGCGTTATGTTACGACTAGTTCGCCATTCTATGTAGTACTTCTTCGTTGGTAATTTTGTCTATCCACGAAATCCTCAACATGCGTCTATAGCACCACATCTCAAATGCTTCGAGTCTCTTCAGTGATGCTTTAGTTAAGGTCCATGACTCTACGCCATATAAAAGAACGGAAAATACGTAGCATTTTAGTAAACGAACTTTTATTTCCAATTTTATGTCGTGGCTTTTATAAATTTTTTTCATTTTGGCGAAAGCTGATATTGCCTTCTCGATCCTTATCTTAATTTCCGTCGATTGGTCCCACTGGTTTATTTTAAGTTTGCACCCAGATAACAAAAGTTGGTGAATTGTGTTATAGGTTGTTGGTTAACTAGTAATTGACCAGGTGGTATCCTATTTTTGCTTATAACCATGTATTTGGTTTTTTTTTATGTTAAAATCAAGCCCAAACCTGCTACTTACTTCTGCCACCCTGGAGACAAGTGTCTGCAGACCTTCAAGACTGTCTGCAAAAATGACAGTATCATCAGCGTATCTCATGTTGTTCAATCGTTCTCCGTTTATAAGTATTCCCTCGTCTATGCCCGTTAGAGCTAGGTTCATAATGTGCTCTGAATATGTATGGGGAGAATAACATCACTGTCGTACACCTCTTTTTATCTTTATATCGTCTGTTAGCTGATCCCAACTCTAACAGCTGCAGTTTGTTCGTAATAGATATTGTTTATTATACGGTGATCTCTGCTGTCTAGACCAATTGAATTTAATATTTTAGAGTTAACGCAGATTACTTAAATTTTTATCCTATTTTAGAGTCTGAGATAATTTTTGCGAGTAAGAAATTGAAAGACAAAATGACGTGTGGACCTGATAATATTCCATCCTTTTTGGTTAAGGATTGTATAGGTGCCTTAACTGTGCCACTTTTAAAAATTTTTAATTTATGTCTTCTTAACAAGGAATATCCGAGTCTCTGGAAGGAGTCAAAAGTGTGCCCAATATTCAAAACTGGTGAAAAGGGTCAGGTAGAAAACTACTGACCAATTTCCATTATTTGCAATCTATCGAAAGTCTTTGAAATAATTTTGTATAATCGTATTGTTATTTATTAACGATCTGTGTGAATCAATTTCTGCACCATGTTTATGCCGATGATTTAAAGATTTATTCATTGATAAGCGACCTTAATGATTGTCATTTTCTGCAGAGTGAACTGAATCGTGTACATGAATGGTGTAATGCAAATCATTTGAATCTTAATGCCAATAAGTGCAAAGTAGTTAGTTATTCTAGGAAACAGTCTAATATACCACCCTTATATTATCGATGGCAATAAACTTGAACGTTTAAATAAAATTAAAGACCTTGGAGTTACATTTGATTATAAACTCACCTTTGTTGAACATGTTAATTTAAAGGTTAAAGAAGCACTTAAATCTTATGGATTCATAATTAGAAATAGTCGAAATCTCACTAATACTAAGGCAATTAAATTACTTTATTACACTTTTGTACGCTGTAAACTGGAATATGCTTCTGTCATTTGGTCACCTTTTTATGATGTAAACATCCAAATTATAGAGCACGTGCAGCGTAAATTTTTAAAATTTTTGTCTTTCAAAATTAACGGCATATATCCCAGGAGGGGCATCAGCAATAGCGAGTTGTGTAGCGGTTTGGACGTAGTATCATTAGAATCTAGACGAATTAATGCCTCCCTAATATTCCTGTACAAGCTACTACATAATCTCATTGACTGCCCTGATATTCTTCGACAAATAAATTTTAACATTCCATCTTATCCAGTGAGAAATTCGATTACGTTCAGAAATACACAAGCTAGAACTAATCTTATGTTAAATTCTCCTCTATTTCTCATGTGCAACTATTATAATTCCTTAAGTGCTTACTGCGATATATTTCACTGCAGTTTAAAGCAGCTTACTAGGATGGCTGAGATCTACCTAGGTGATTAAGTAGTTCCTTGATGTTAAATACTCGAAAAATGTGTTATTTAGTTAGTACCTATGAATTATTAATATTTCATTTAACTTTAGTATTGTATTTTGTCCTATAAATGGATTCTGTTGGACAATAAACGCTATCCAGATTTAGCCATACGGCTCACACTCCCTCTAAGGGGAAAATTCACTCATCCCAGATACCTACGGTATCAAAAGGATTGAGCTCTGGTGGGACTCTTTCCGTGTTATCGAGCCCTAGGTGACTTGGTATGTTGGAGTATCTCCCAGAAATTTTCGTACACATCTGGACGTCGCGAGGAGTACAGCTTTCTGCATGGCCTTATAAAGATGTTCATTTAGACCCAGCTGTTTTATGTTCGCTAGGAGGTTTTGGGAAATAAACGCTATTATTATTATTAAAGACTTTGGAGCTATCAAATATTTTGCTTGACTCTTTTCTTCATTAAAATTTTGTGGGATACTCTCCAAATATGACAATGTTAATAAAATATATAATATATTTATTGATAACAACCTTCTTTTTCAGATTCCTGGATTTAAACCTGGAGAAAAGCTACTGGATTACTGGGAGCCTGGTAGAATTATGTTAGCAGATCCCCAAGCATTTCTAATGAGTCTTATGAACTTTGACAAAGATTCGATCACAGAAGAGATGATAGACAAATTAAGAAAATATGTTGAAGATCCTCTATTTACTCCACAAAAAATTTCGAAGGTATGTTTAAACTGGTAAATTAAAGCATGTATATATATATATATATATATATATATATATATATATATATATATATATATATATATATAGGTAGTCCAAAGTTTTTTGACTAGTTTTTTCTCACTAATTCTCAATCAGTGCCCTCAGCACAAAACAATTCTTCTCAAACAAGTGTGTATTTTTATGCCCTTCCGTATATTCCAAAACTAACCGTAGAACTTACTAAAATTTTCAAAGAATTTAAGAACATCAAAATAGCTAACAAGAACATCAAAACCATACGTCAGCTATATAGCAAAATAAAACAACCCCTAACTACTTTAGAGTCAAGAGATGTTGTTTATTGCATTCAATGTACGGAATGTCCATCCACGTACATTGGTGAAACTGGAAGAAATCTGTCTAGTCGTATCATTTCTCATAAGAGTGACTGTAGACTAAATAAACCCACTTGTGCTTTGGCAGAACACACTATCGATCTAGACCATAAGATAGATTTCAACAATGTTAAAATATTAGCCAGAGAGAAAAATAAATTTAAGAGAACATTCTTAGAAATGGTACATATCAGCAGGAGTGATAACAACAATCTGAATAAAAGATCTGAGATCCAGAATCTTAGCAAAATTTACAATTTTATTTTGACTTTTGACTAGGGTTTTCTGTATCTCAGAGTGCTTCATGTTTCGTAAATTCCATTATTAATTGCTATAATTATCATGATTAACTTCAGTTATTATTCAGATGTTCATTTTGTTTTGTTTGTTTGTTTTTTCTAAACCTATTTACTAAATACTATTTTCTTTTTATTTTTTGACATAATAAAACCTTTTTTTAAATTTCCCTCTCAATTCTAAGTTGGTAACATGGTTGGTAGTACCTAAAATCACAAACGGCATTTTGTTAGACATCAGTTTGAAAGTTTGTTTTTTGTAGTTACATCGAACTATTTAAACAACAATAGTTCCTCCTACTACCTCTTTCTGTTCGTGAGATGTGACTGAATTCAAACCTGCGAAGACGACTGTTTTTTGTCAAACATGTCGTCTTATTTTTTTACTTTTTAAACTTTGTAACATGTTCTTTAATTTTTAAGTATTTTAAAGTTTTTAAAATTTTTAATGCCTTCAATAATTCAGATCACATTATGTTATTTAACGTTGTGTTTTATATGCTATGAATCTTACTTTCTGGTAAGTTTTTATAACTTTTATATTACATCAGCCTAATGTTATAACACAGTAATTTTCATTGTAGACCTTGATAAAGGTGGCAAATAACCACCGAAAGCTCGGAATTCAGAATAAATAGTACGCCTTAGCAAAGCTCTATTTTTTATTGACTACCACACCCAAAAAGAAAAAAGTATTTACATATATATATATATATATATATATATATATATATATATATATATATATATATATATATATATATATATATATATATATATGGTGATTTATGAGTATACACCATTATATAACCACTTTCTTAACTAATGGAAAATTCTCATAATGTCCCTTTGAGTTGACATCCTATCCTTATCTAGTAATCGTGGCATTTTCTTTCTATTCATTTCAATTCTATTCAAAAGGTCTCCGAATATCCATTTCCGTAAATATGACAACAAGAGATTTAAGAAATTTTCTATTCGTCAAATACAACAGTGCTCAACAATTGGGAAAGATCGATGTAATATTTTCAGTGGCGGTTGGTATATAAGTGCTGCGGAGCTGCAGAACCACCAAAATAATCCAAACAAAATTACTTTGAAAATTAAATTAAAAATATCACTACTTATAAAATCTAAATTCATTTAGATGGTTTTCGTGCATGGCCGCCTTTATTTTAATTTGTCGTCCGTCGCATCTCATGGCGACAGCAAGTCCCACTCATTTGACCGGACCGGTGCTACTCCGAGCTGTGAACTGTTAAAGATATCCCCGATAACACCCGCTCAACCCCTCGCCTACACTTTTCAGGCGACGACTGAAAGCAATATTTGAGCTGCATTTGTCGCAGTTCGAACTAGTGTGTACAAACCTACGTTTATTGTAATTTTAAATAATCGGTGATCGCGACGCGACGACTGTTAAAATAAGTTGTCCTGCACGTAATTCGGTATTTATATTAAGTATATGAGAATAAAAGTGCTGTTCAGGATGGATGTTATTTATAATTTGATTAATTTAAGAGATTCTTTAAATATTCTTATGACGAAAAACTAGACTTAAAAGGCAAAGGACGTCCTTTGCCGGATATTAAAATCGAAAAAGAAGGATCAAGCCGAGGGAAAAATTATCAAACGACAATTTAATTGCGATATTTATACGAGAAATAGTTGGATATGTGGCTGCAACAGAAAAAAACGCTGTTTTCTGTTTTCCTTGTGTACTCTTTGGAGGTGATAAGTCATGGCGCAAGTTGGTGTAACAGACTTAGTACATTTAAGTGATAAAATAAAAAAGCACGAAACTTCTAAGCTTCATTTGCACAATCAAATGGAATATGCTTTGTTAGGCTCCGTGAATATTAAAGAACAGTTAGATTCTGCATACTGGATAAATATTCAAAAATTCAATGAAGCTGTAACAAAAAATAGGTATGTTCTCTCAAAAATTATAGACTGCATAAAATTTTGTAGTGTTTTCGAATTGGCGCTTCGGGGACACGACGAGACACAAACATCCGACAATCCTGAAATTTTTCGCGGTCTCATAAATTTTACTGCTGAATTGGATAGAACTTTAGCACAACACTTGAAAGAATCGACGGTTTTTAAGGGCATTTCTAAAGAGATTCAAAATTATATTTTGAACTGCATGTTGGAATTATGCCAGGATAAAATTTTGGAGGAAATTCGGGAATCTCCATATCTAGCTGTCATGGCCGACGAGACTACAGACATTTCAGCAAAATCACAAATGGTTGTAGTATTTAGATATTCTCGAAATGGAGCACCGGTAGAACGATTTTGGACATATTTGGTACCTTGAAAATTAAATGCAGATACTTTAAGCAAAAACATTTTCAGTGTTTTGGATCCTATCCTGGAAAACTCAAATAAAACTAATTGCTCAGAGTTATGATGGGGCAGCGGTCATGTGTTGACAGCACGCAGGAGATCAAGCCAGAATCAAAGAAAAATATCCATTTGCTCATTTTGTACACTGTTACGCGCATCAATTAAATTTAATAATGTCTGAGGCTTGTTCCGAAAACTCCCAAGTTGGACTTTTTTTTAGAAATTTAAATGAAATCCCTACCTTTTTTAAAAATTCGCCACAACGAGTGGCAGTTTTAGATAAAATCGTCCAAAAGAAAATTCCTCATGGCGCTCCAACTCGCTGGAACTTCAATATTCGAACTGTTAATGTTGTGTTTGAACATCGATCTTCTTTTATCGAATGTATGGAAGAAATAGAAGAATCGTTTGATAAGGCAGCTGTCTGTAGTTCAGCGTCTTCCATTCGAAGAATACTAGTGGATCAAAATTTTGTTTTCTGTTTAACATTTTTCCATCGCATAATGCCACAAGTAGACGTTTTGTATAATGCACTTCAAAAGACTAAAACGGATCCTTTGGAAATCAATAAAAAGGTGACAGATTTCGAAAGATACATGAATTCAGTTAGAAATTCAATAGATGATACCATTGACCAAGGTTCTAGTTTATGTGTTGAACCATTACCAACTAAAAGGTTACGGAAGGATAACAGTCCAGTAGATCATCGGAGAGCATCTATCGAAGTTTGTGATATAATCATAAATTGTGCAAATGATAGATTTGCTTTTAAAAATCACCTACTTGCAACTTCATTGCTTTATCCTGAGCAATTTGATAATTATTGTGATAATTTCCCAGATGATAATTTAAGCCTGACTTGCGCGTCATATCCAAATTTAGATAGGGAGCGCTTGAAGACTGAATTATCTGTTTTTTATTTTAGAATAGGCTGTAGAGACATAAATGGGGCAATACCTTTTTTTAAAATTTTTAATTGAAAATAATTTAACAGAGAGTTTTTAAAAAACCGTAAAACTGCTTCAAATTCTAATTACAGTGCCCATGAGTACGGCAGAAGCTGAAAGGTGCTTTTCGAGTTTAAAACGGATTAAAACATTCTTGAGAAATTCCATGACTGAAGACCGACTTGTAACATTAACCATGTTGTCAGTAGAAAAACACTTTAAAAAAAAATACCAAACTTTAATGAAAAAGTTATAGACAAGTTGGCTTAAAAAAAAATCGACGAATCGAGCTTATTTATAAAAAAATAATATATTTGGCTCTGTGTGTAGTTAGTTCGTAAGACCCTATAATGCAATTATTGTTGTGACGATTTTGTTTGTAGAGTTTTTTCGTTTGCATTCCTTAGTTTCGCGTATTTATCGATAAAATTCTACTAAAAACATAAACTATAAAACAATTACTAGTGTGCCATAATGTACCATTGTTATTTTTGATATAATTGGATTTATCTTCAATTTGAAAAGAAGAAAATCGGTAAGTTCTTTATTATTTTTTAATAGATATAAAATGAATAAATATATGGTGTAAAATATCAAACTAAAAGCCTCGTTGTAATATACAACGATTAAAAGATATTAAATGAAAAAAAAAAACAAAAAATACTGCAGAACTACCAAATTTTTGAGTCACCAGCCGCCACTGAATATTTTACTCTAGAAATAGCCGAAGTTTGTAAAAATTTAATATAATAAAATTAAAGTAATATTAATACCCCGACTTTATCATCAATTTTAAAAGAAATAAAATAAATTTTGCCATTATGGCCATTTTTTACTAGGGTCAGCAAAAAGTTGAATATTAAAACCGTCTATTTTCATTTATTCTACTCAAGTCATCATACTAGGATCTTAACAAACTTTTAAAATGTTTGAAATCATAATTATGATCCTTATCAATTTTTAAGCACTATATTACGACGATGTCCGAATATTTTCTGGAACAGTCATTAGGGCAAATCAGTAAATGTTAGTGCAAAATTGCAAATGCCCCGTGTGTAAGGGAGTGTTAAGTTCGAAGCCGGCTCTGCTACGTTGAGGCCGACGATGAACTAGCAACGCTGCAGCGTTTTCTTTACATTACATAAATTCCTGGATTACAGTGTAAAATTACCCTTTTTTCCCCACAGCCTATTTAAAAATACAATGCCAGAGATAAAGACCTTTGAAAAAATATTTATCTTTAAAACTTTTTAAAATCAATAACACTTTAAACATAATCATTTAGTTAAATATAAATATTTCTTGCTTTACTTATTATAGGTCTCCAAAGCCTGTACTTCTCTTTGTATGTGGATACACGCAATGTTCAAATTTTATTTCGTCAACAAAGCTGTAGCTCCGAAAAAAGCCGCTTTGGCTAGAGCCAAAGCAGACTTGGAAGCCACCTTACAAGCTCTCGCCAATGCCAAAGCTAAAATGAAGGAGGTGCTGGAAGGTTTGGAACAATTGCAAAAAGCATTAGCTGAAAAAATTGCGTTTAAAGAAGAAAAGGAGGCAAGCATTGCAGTGTGTGAGGAGAGAATGAACAGAGCGATGAGGTTGATTAATGGTTTAGCGGAAGAGAAGATAAGATGGATGCAAACGATCGAGGACATTGATGCAAATGTTGTAAATGTGACAGGAGATATTTTGATTTGTTCTGGTTGTGTGGCGTATTTAACACCTTTCACTGATTCATACAGGTAATTATAAACTTTTTTGCTTATCTTATTTTTCTTGTACAGCATCAAGAAATTAATTCTATTGTTTAAACAATCTGTGGATTCTTCTTCTTCAGGTGCCATCTCCGCTACGGAGGTTGGCAATCATCATAGCTATCTTAATTTTTGAGGCAGTAGCTCTAAATAGTTGTTTTGAGCTGCATCCAAACCATTCTCTCAGGTTCTTCAGCCATGAAATTCGTCTTCTTCCGATGCTTCTTCTGCCATCTATTTTTCCTTGCATTATGAGTCGCAGGATGCCATACTTATCGCCCCGCATCACATGTCCGAGATACTGTAGCTTTCTTTCTTTAATTGTAAGTTCAATTTCCTTCTCTTTGCCTATTCTTCTCAGTATTTCATTGTTTGTAACTCTATCTACCCAGGAAACCCTCATAATTCTTCTATAGGTCCACATTTCAAAGGCGTTAAGTCGTCTCATGGTATCTAGATTTAACGTCCATGATTCCACTCCATAATATAGTACACTGTATACGTAACATTTTGTTAGGCGTACTTTAAGAGCTAATGTTAGATCTTTGCCACATAGGACCTTTTTCATTTTTATAAAATTAGAACGTGCTTTTTCGATTCTGACTTTGATTTCTGCCGTGTAGTCATTATTTTCTGTTATAAGTGTTCCTAGGTAAGTGTACTTTTTTACTCTTTCGATCTGCTGGCCCTCTACTATCAAGATTTCGTTAGTATTATAGTTGTTTTTACAAATTTTCATAAACTTCGTCTTTTTGACATTAAGAGAGAGTCCGTACTCCCTACTACACATGACTATTTTGTTCATGAGTCTTTCCAGGTCTTGTAAACTATCGGCTATTATTACTAATCTGTGGATACCTGAGTTTAATTGAACTTACTTACGTCTTTTAATCGATTGTCTAAATGAACCAAACGCAGGATTATTTCATATCGGATCTGTAATCTCTTAACCTTGGTATTACTACGTCGGTAAAATTACGTGGAGTCCCATGTGGGTCCATTTGTACCCCAGAGAAAAAAATGCGTTAATTTAATTTTTATTATAAGAAAATGAAATAAAATCTGAAATTAACACATTTTTGTTACATCTAAGAGCATATCGAACAAAAAAATAATTTTTATTATCTAATTAAATTAACTGTAGGATCTAAATCTTAGGACCGAAAACTAGTGTGAAGTTTCTTGGTATCAAGTGCAAACTACTTCCTTGATATGGTATTCTGCACATACAAAATTTTTACACTGCTTACAAAATTGCCTTGATTTACGATCTTTATTTCGACTACATAAGTAGCAACGTCCACTTGAAGCTCGTTCACAGGCTGCTTCCATTTGCATCTTCACCAGTGCCAATTCTGGAACGACATCTTGCATGTACTGCTTCAACGTCTTACTCAATCGTACTCCCTCATTATATCGTCTGGTAATATTTTCTTTTACTAAAGCTTTTCCTAGATTTAGTAAAAAATTACGTCTATCATCTTTTTAGATAAATTCGGGTACTTGATACACCATAAGATGTAAGCGTTCAGGCCAGAAATCCCCCAGCTAGTTTACCTCCAACTAATTTTCAATCACAAGCCAATCAGCTTATACTGGGAGACTTTAACAGTCACAGTTTACTCTGGGGCTATGCAGATTCGGACGCAAATGGAGACGCAGTAGAAGCATGGGCCGAAACGAGTGGCCTCACGTTAATCCATGATCCTAAACTTCCACCATCTTTTGATAGCAAAGTTTGGAAAAGAGAATATAACCCGGATATCTGTTTTTCAAGCAACAACCTCGAAGACCGATGTACCAAAGTAGTATATGGCCCCATACCAAAAACTCAGCATAGACCAATTGTAATAAATATCTTCCCAATTGTCAGACCACAAGCTATTCCATTCAGAAGGAGATTTAACTTCAAAAAGGCAAACTGGCAAAATTATGCAGACATGCTAGATTTTGAACTACTACGCCTTGAACCAAAAGTAGAGAACTACGAAAAATTCGTAGAGGTACTCAAAAATGTGTCTAGAAAAACTATCCCTAGAGAATGTAGACAACAATATGTTCCCGGGATGTCCAGCGAGTCCAAAGAACTAATGAGAACATACGAAACCCTCTATTCCACTGACCCTTTTAGCCAAAAAACGGTTGACTGCGGAGCAGTACTACTCCAACAGCTAAGTCAAGCCAGACAGGAAAAGTGGATTGAGACCCTGGAAAAAATGGACATGACACATAGTAGCAAAATAGCATGGAACTTTGTAAAAAAACTCAGCGGTGATCCAAAAGAACATAAACCACCTTGCAAGGTTACAGCAAACCAAGTCGCTACTTAACTTCTTACGAATGGAAGAACTACTAACCGATATAAGGACCCAAACACTAGGAGAAGATTGGATTCGGAGACAAACCACCTAGGAACTCCTTTTACACTAAAAGAACTCCACGACGGTCTGAACAGGTTAAAAAACGGGAAAGCTGCAGGTGTGGATGATATATGCAGTGAACAAATAAAGCATTTAGGCCAAGGAGCAAAAAACTGGATCTTGCAATTTTATAACCATCCATCCCATCCAATGGCACTACAGCCCAAGCCGGGCCTTGGCCTCCTTCATTAGACCTCTCCAAACATCTCTATTTACTGCTGTTCTTTTCCATGAACGCGTTTTTAGGAGATTTTTGGCATCCTCATCTACCTCGTCTTCCCATCTCTTTTTTGGTCTTCCAACAGGTCTTTTTCCTTGCATTCTTGCGTTTAGTAATTTTCTGGGGATTCTGTTCTCATGCATGCGGGCCACATGCCCTGCCCATCGTAATCTCTGCAGTCTAGTGTATTGTGCTAGTGTTGGTTCAGTGTATTGTTCGTATATTTCGTTATTATATCTAATTCGCCAGTTGTTATTTTCCTTTATTGGACCCAGTATTCTACGCAATATTTTTCTTTCGAACACGTCTAATGCATTGGTAGATTTCTGTGTTATAACCCATGTTTCACACCCATAACTTACTATGGGTCGGATTATTGTTTTATATACCCGGAGTTTTGTTTTCCGGTGTACGTCTCGCGATTTGAATATGTGGCCCATCGCGAAATAGGCTTTGTTTGCCAGCATAAGCCTTCTATTTATTTCCGGTTCTTCTTCATTATTTTCGACCAGATCCATTCCTAAATACGTGAATCTATTCACGTATTCTATATCGTCTATAAATTGTTGTTGTTGCGCCTGTCTATTTGATCTGGTTTGTATGAGTAGTTTTGTTTTATTTGTATTTATTGTTAGCCCTACAACTTCTGAACTCTGTTTCAACTGAACGTAGGTTTCTTCTGCCGCAGTCTTTGTTCTGCTCATTATGTTTATGTCATCTGCGTATGCTACTAATTGGGTAGATTTGTTTGTAAGTATGTTATTTCTGCTCACCGTCAACCGTCTAATTACATATTCAAGAACAAGATTAAAAAGTGTTGGAGCCAGTCCGTCACCTTGTTTCAGTCCTTGCGTTGTCATAAACGCATCAGTGATCTGTCCTTGAATACATACATGTGCTTCTGTTTCTGTCATTGTCATTTGCACTAGTCTTATTAATTTTGATGGTATGCCAAATTCTTGTAATATATTAGGTAGTATTGTTCTATCTATTGAATCATAGGCTTGCTTGAAATCTACAAAGAGATTGTAGACGTCTATGTCATATTCCCATGCTTTGGCTAGTATTTGTTTAACTGTAAATAGTTGGTCAATAGTAGATCTATTTTGTCTGAACCCTGCTTGATATTCCCCGATAATTTTTTCAGTGAGGGGTTGAAGTCTTCGATTAAGAATGTTTGTGAGTATTTTGTACCCCGAACAAAGTAAAGAGATGCCTTTTATAACACGTGCTGCAAAACCTGCAAAATTCCAAAATCATGGAGGAAATCTAAAGTAATAGCCTTGTTAAAACCAGGAAAGGATCCAGAAGACCCCAGTAGCTACAGACCTATTTCGCTATTGTGTCACTATTTTAAACTATACGAGAGACTCATACTCTCCAGAATAGAAAAAAATGTCGACAAGCACCTCATCCCACAACAAGGAGGATTCAGACCTAGCAAATTTTGCGGTCAAGTCCTCGCATTAACAGAACATATTGAAGAGGGCTTTGAAGAAAAACTTATACCAGGAGCTGCTTTTGTAGATCTGACAGCAGCCTATGACACAGTAAGGCACAAAACATTGCTCCGTAAATTATACGACACCCTCAATGACCACCATCTGGATAAGGTCGTATATTCATTACTGCAAAATAGACGGTATTTCGTTATGCTGGAGGGTAAAGTAAGTAGGTGAAGAGTTCAAAAAAACGGCCTCCCACAGGGAAGTGTTTTAGCACCAATACTCTTCAATATATACACAAACGACCAACCTACTCCGACCGAAACCAAGCACTTCTTCTATGCTGACGATCTTGCAATATGTGCTCAAGGAAATAATTTTGAAGAAGTGAAGGAGAAACTCGAAACTGCCTTAAAAACAATGACAGCGTACTACCTGCAGAATTCTCTGACACCCAATCCCTCTAAAACCCAACTCTGCGCTTTTTACCTTCGCACAAAGGAAGCCAAGCGAAAACTCCAAATTGTGTGGAATGGTAATGCATTAGAACACACAAATCAACCTATATATCTTGGAGTAACTTTGGACCGGTCCCTCACCTACAGACAACATTGCATAAAAACAAGAGGGAAAGTAACAACTAGGAACAGCATACTCAAAAAAATAACGGGAAGTAAATGGGGCGCACGTCCTGGCGTTTTAAGAACAACGGCACAGGCACTGTGTTTCTCAACTGCTGAATATGCGTGCCCCGTCTGGAGCAGATCTGCTCACACCAAACAAGTTGATACTGCGCTAAATGAGACATGCAGGATAGTAACGGGGTGCATGAAACCAACGCCACTTTCAAATCTATATAGAGCAGCGGGTTTTGCAGAACCCTCAACACGCAGAGGCGCTGCAGAACACATAGAGAAAATTAAACAGATTGCGGACGATCGGCATGCCCTATACAAAGCTCGAACACCACGAAAGCGACTAAAATCTAGGAAAAGCTTTCTGAGAACAGTGCATGATAAATTGCCTCAGTATTTTCCACTTTCCCAGGTTTAATGGACCGGCCAGACCCTAGACTTTAAAACGTGGAAAACCTTGAATAGGATAAGAACGGGGGTTGCTACAGTAAAATCAAACATGGCAAAATGGGGAAAATAGACCAAGATGATGTGAACTGTGACTGTGGAGAAACACAGAATATGGAACATCTTCTTACATGCAGAAACTGTCCTCATCGATGTACCCTTGAAGATTTGTGGCTCGCCAACAAAGATGGAACCGGCGTAGCCCAATACTGGGCCGAAATTTTATGAATGACATGCCCGGACACGATAAAGTAAAGTAAGCACTGTCTATACACTAGTCCACGATACACTACAAACATAAGCACTGATACAGATATTAATATTAATGAATATGAATAAACTTGATAAATAATGAGCATTTAGCTTTTAACTATAAGCTATGTAATGATAAACACTAATATGCGGAAGCAGCCAGCTAAGCTGGGATACAATGTTATATTGTATACCAGAAAGTCTAAAAACTCTTAAATCAGAAATGCGTCGAATTGGATCGAATTTGAAACTAAAAACCAACTAATATGCAAAACGACCAGCTAAGCTGGGGTACAATATTATACTGACTTAAAATTCCGATTTTCAATACCTGACTATTGCAAGGTATTTGCGTGGGTCGGGAGACAACTTCGATATTTCTATACAGAGGTAGGTAAAACTAACCTTTTTGAATTCTTGTCTAACAGGGACATTTTTGGAATTGGTCAGAGAAAGTTAATTTATGGGTAAAAATATCTTTTGAATATATTTTTACCTCGCTACATTTTAAGACTTGTAAGTTACCTGCTACCAGTGACGTAACAACACTTGTATACATTTTTTACAAAAATTTATCCAGCTGGTTTTAATATACCCTGGTGGACACCTCAAGTGGAAAGATAGCGCAGGCTGACCCGGGGGGCTCTTTAACAAAACCAAGAAGACTGGTGTCCCTGCTTACTGGGACTCCTTTAAGGAAGCTTAAAGTTAATACAAGTATCTGATTAAGAAGTCATTGAGCTGTTGGAGAGCCTACTGTGAAAGCGTGAAACACTTGCCATCTCTAAAGATCCGACTCCGGGAGTGGGTCTGGTGCGTGTTTCCAGTGAAAGGCAATATTCCACTAACGTAGAGATCAATGATTCTCTTGGACACTTACTTCCTAGAGGGCAAGGATGATGATACTGCCTAGCTACGATTAGACTCCCGTAAATGGGGTATTTTGATATGGCAAACGAGGTAGTATCGTATACAAAGGTGTGCTGGGTAAAAAGGCTACAATTTTGGTCCATCAAGTCATCAGTTGCGGACGGCATTAGGCCAGCTCTACTTTAGCAGAGTCTAGACCCTATTGCTACCACACTAGTTAAGATATTAAGGGACCTCTTTTGTGATAGTGTATATTTTTTTACCTTTAAGGAGGACTAGGGTCGTATTTTATTTATTTTTAAACCGGGTAAAACTGATTTTACCCTTGCTAAACCATTCTGAATAATTAGTCTCATGCTTTCTTCTAATGGTTTTAGAGATTGATGGATCGGTTGATATGTGATGGAGCACTAAGGGTTTTATACGTCTATTAGGTTGAAATGTTATGTGAGACGGCCATGCATCACCCTCTCTCGGAAGCATTGGAAGATCGGAAGCAATACAGAAGCAATATTTTTATGGATGTTGAGGTCGCCTTTAGTTGTTCTACTTTTAATTTAATGTGTAATGCTGCAAAAAGCCATGGAGTTTGCTGCAGCTAAGTCAAGTGAATCCGGGCATGCTTTTTTAGAGGAAGATACCTGCGTACCAAAACGGTTGTTCAATTCGGGTGTCGGTATCTCGTGGTTGACCTCAGGCGGGAGATTTGTCCCCCCTGCTGTGGTGCCTGGTGATTGACGGCTTTCTTCAGTGAATGTCCACAAAAGGTATATATATATCTATATATATATATATATATATATATATATATATATATATATATATATATATATTTATTTATATAATAATATATATATATATATATATATATATATATTATTATATAAATAAATATATATATATATATATATATATATATATATATATATATATAACAACAGTTCTGTTGCTTTGCTAATTTTTACTGTCTCTTAATGTTGTTAGTTATTTAATTGTTTATACAATATCACCATACGATGTCCATTTATTTGAGTTTTTGTACTGACTTTTTAATACCATTGACAACTACATATCTTTTTTAAGGTAACTATTTAACATCTTCTTCATGAATGTGTGGTACTCTAATGTAAATAAATTTTTAGATGAACTGATGATGCTATCAGAATTCGATAGCGAAACGTCTTCAAAATAGATGAAGTAGTATCAACTTTGTCTTTTATTTCTCCACCTAGTTGACCGATTGAACCCACCACTCATCTGAGTGATCCTTATTTATATATATATATATATATATATATATATATATATATATATATATATATATATATATATATATATAATAAATATAATATTAAATATATATACAAAATAAATATTTTTATTCTCGAGAGAGAAACAGAAAAAAAATATATCTTCTGTCTCTCTGTTACTCATATCTTACATACGTAATGGTTTCACAGATTTACTCCCGTACAAATTTTCAACATCGAGCGCGCGTATAGAAGTATAACTTCAAAAATAATAATAAACAATATAAATAATCCGCTACAAAGCTTGATTAATAACCTTTATTATTAATGTTTGCTTATTCTCATCTTATCAAATGTTTGATTTCTTCTCACACGCGTATAAAATCTCACGGAAATTATATTTCCAGGCGCAGTTTGTTTGCGAGTTGGATGGAGAAAATAACATACTACAATATCCCATTTACCCCCAACTGCAATCCAGTAACAATATTGGGAGAACCAGTTCAGATAAGGCTTTGGCAATTAGACGGATTGCCTAGAGATTATCTCTCTACGGAAAATGCAGTTCTAGTTTCTTGTTCCCGCAGATGGCCATTATTTATCGATCCACAAGGACAGGCCAATAAGTGGGTTAAAAAAATGGTAAGTATTATTTAGGTTAGATTTATATAAATCGGAGCAGAATATTATATGGTATGTTCCGGAAAAATACGGAAAAAAAAACAAAATGAAGTATAAATGTTATGTTTATATTGGATTAAGTCAGAAGTGATTGTAATGAAAATTACATTTTATAATACTTGTTTGACGTTTCCACTTCCACTCCGGAATCGTTTTCAAACAGAAGATTATTTAAAGTTGGGGATATGTTAATATTATAATCAAACTTATTTGACGGTTTTGTTTTTAACCCAATGGCGCTCACGGATACCTTATGGCAGGGGTGCTTAAACGGTCGATCGCGATCGACTGGTCGATCGCGAGTGCTTTTTGGGTAGATCTCGAGTAGAAAAAAAATTTTAATAAGTAGGTAGGTAACTAAACTACTGTCAGCAGAGTTAAACGTTTTTATTAATACTGAACTATACAAATACATAGAATGCTTGACTAAGCATCATTGCAATTCAAAGAAGTGGGGACAACAAAATACTGTCCTCACGGCATATTCTATATTTACATATATTAACTAATTATTTTATTAATTCAATATTTATTATATTGAATTATATATTGAATTATATATATGAATTATATTTATTATATTGAATATTCAATATTATTAATCAAATTTGGGATGATATTCTATCAACTACAAAAATGTATTACGTAATAAAATAACACTGCTTGCGGCAAAAGGTGGCTTTATCAAAGAAACGCGCGACACTTGTCAAAGAAAAGCCGTGTTGTTTCTAGACGAGAGACAGTACAGTCTAGTTTCGGGCGGCGCGTTTGACGGGAAAACATTCGAGACTTTCGTTCACGCCGATATAAATGTTGCGCCTGCAGGAATTGGAGTTATTCTGAATTGTAACTTGATAGCGATCCTACGTCGATACAAAGTTTATTATTAAATAGTGGAAAAGGAGTGCAGTGAATAAATCTAAAACGTATCATTTTAATAAGGATTGAGAGGAAGAATTTTTCTTTTCTGTGGTCAAGGATAAGTGCATTTGTGTTATTTGTCTTGCGTCAGTTGCAATACCTAAGCGTGGTAACTTAGAGAGGCATCATAAAACGGTTCATAAAAACTATGAAAAGGATTTTCCGCCACAGAGTGAATTAAGAAAACGAAAAGTAAGTGAAAGTAGTAGTAGTAAGTCTTGTTTGAAAAAAGAAAAATCCATGTTCACAAGACCAGCCAAACAATCAAAAGCTGCTACGATCGCGTCATTTAAAATATCTCATATTTTGGGGAAACACAAGAAACCATTTGAAGATGGATCGGTGGTGAAGGAAGCATTTATTAAAGCGGGTGAGACTTTATTTCGAGATTTTAAAAATAAAACAGAAATCATGTCTGCTATTAGAGAACTTCAGTTATCTCGTCCGACTGTCACAATGCGTATTGAAGTCATGAGTCAAGATATCGCAGATAAACTAAAACATGATATCATGAAATGTACATACTTTTGTTTACAGTTCGACGAATCCATCGACATGACACACACTGCCCAGCTGTGTATTTTTATTCGGATGGTATTCAACGACATGTTGGCTAAGGAAGAATTTTTGACAATCATTCCTCTGAAGGGGAAGACCCGTGACGAAGATATATATGACGTTTTCTTAAATTTTGTAAAAAACTACGAGCTACCAATATATAAATTAATGTGCATTACAACCGATGGAGCACCAGCAATGACTGGAATCAAAAACGGTTTTGTGGCATTGTGTCGAGCTAATGAAGAATTCCCTTCATTTTTTTCATTCCATTGCATTATACATCAACAAGTTTTGTGTTCAAAAGTTTTAAACACGGAGCAAATTATGGGCATTGCAACAAAAATTGTGAATTCCATCCGTGCACGTAGCTTGCAACGGCGGCTCTTTCAGTTGCAGTTGGAAGATAGGGAGTCAGCTGAACACACTGATTTAGTTCTTCATACGGACGTCAGGTGATTGAGTCGCGGAAAATTCCTAGAAAGGTTTCAAAAATTATTGCCCGAAATAACAGCTTTTCTAGACGAAAGAGTTGATGACACTCAGATTTTGAAAAACGAAAAATGGCTAAATGATTTGGCATTTTTGACTGACATCACAATGCACTTAAACACCGTTAACTTGGAGCTTCAAGGTAAAGAAAAAACTATTATTGAGATGATTAGCGCAGTAAACGCATTCAAAAGTAAATTGCAACTTATGATAGATCAACTGAAAAGAAAGGATCTGAAACATTTTCCGTCTTTGAAAGCAAAGATTCATCAGTTGAATTATGACACGTATGAGGCTGAATTATCAAATATTTTGAGACAATTCGATATGCGTTTTTATGATTGCAGTAAATTGGAAAATATAGCATCATTTATGAGTTATCCTTTTTCATGTAAAAACATTGAGGAATTAGCTACTTAAATAGCAAGTCAGTTTAATATGAACTCATGTTCTGTTGAAAATAAGTTGGTGCAGATTATATCAGATATACATCTCAAAGCTACAGTATCTGATACAAATTTCTGGCGTTTTATATCTGAAGATAAATATCCGAATGTAAGGCAAATCCCCTTCAACTGACGGCATTTTTTGGGTCAACTTACTTGTGCGAGTCTGCATTTTCTGAAATGAAGAAAATTAAGTCAAAATATCGCAATCGACTAACTGACGATCATATGACATCATGCTTGCGATTAGCACTCAGTGGTTACGTACCATCTTATGAAAAGTATGCTGAGGACATGCAGTGCCACGCTTCAACATCCAAAGCCACTCCTTAGTTAAGTTTAACACCATATGTAACTCTTTTGTTTTGTAACAACAAATAAACTCGCAATTTTGAATAACTATGAGTTTTTTCATTGATATTGTAGAGCAGAACCTAACTAAACCTAACCCAAACCTTGACTAAAATAATGTACCTATATTGTGCAGAAAGCTAATATCTATATATGCTACGGTACGCTCTACCTAGGTAGGTAGGGTGTATCGTGTATGTACGACAACCCTGCATCACACACACTTGCAGTCTCTCAGAGTCGATCGTAAGTAGTCTAAAAATATTGAGGTAGATCGCCAGCAGTTCAAGTTTGAGCACCCCTGCCTTATGGTATCAAAATCCCTCTCAATTTTACTGAGGCGCTTCTGGAAATGTTTAAGTGGGAGTTCAAATGTATTTAGTTTCAAAGTTAACAGACAAGACAGGCTTTTATTATATTATCTCATTTGTAAGCCGACCGCAGTGTGTTTTATTGGTTTGCCATTTTTTTTTCCTAGACAGTTTTTATTTTCAATCGAAATTATGGACGTTTGATGGGCGTAAGTATATTTTCGCATTAAAATTGTATATTTTAATAAAAGATTTATATAAACGCTGATGTAAATAGATCAAACAGTTGTTTTGAGCATAAATATTTTAAATAAGTTTTAATTTGTTTTTGATATGAAGCCATAAACTAGCGTGATACCATATGGTATCCGTGGGCGTTTAGGACAAAATAGTGACATTTTTATATAATAGTTGTAATGTATACGGTTTTTGTTTTAGTAAAGGTGTTAAATTTTTTCACATGCAAAAAATCATGTCATTTTTTCGCTGTATTATTAACTATCCTTCTATCACAATTTTACAATCATTATCTCAGTCCAACCCTTAATAATCCTTCCTACTTACATTTCAACCCCGCTCCATTACAAGTACAGACAGTTTTAAGATAGTAAAGAAGAAAGACTCTCTCTTGATTTGACTACCGCTAGGGCGAGTCGTGCCTCTTGATTGTCGGCTACCGCTAGAGACAGTCATTCTATTTCTCTTCTCTTATCAAGAAGAACAGCATCTCTCTTGGCTGTTTTCTATCGCTAGTTATCTCTCTCCCGCTTTAGTTACGCGAAAAATACCGCATATACTATTATAAATCGTGTACACACGCAAAGTGTGATCTAAATCGTGATTTTAATGCGAAACACGTGTTCAAAAACCGGTGCTCGGACAGTTTTCGCGGATGAAGAGTAACCACGAGTGATGGGCGGAAAACCCGCGAGAGTGTGGAGCAGCAATATTGGTAAGACTTTGTGTAAACTTAATTTGCTATTGTCTGTACACTATTTACTACATATTTTAATTTATTTGAACCAGCCCTATATAATACAGTCCACATACACTGAAATTATACTCATAATTTCCCATATATGTACACCCTTTCTGTACAAAAGGTTTTTCAATATCTGAAGCATTAAATATGATATATAATGATGACGATATGGTTCAAAAAGTTGATGAGATATTTATAACTCCACCACAGACGAAGGAGAATGATATATAATTTAACTAGTAAGAAGCAGTTGACCATAACGGGTTTTACATTTTATTTGCAACTAACGAATTCTACTACATGGATTAGTGACAAATTAGAGCCCATGGCTTGCTTATTTTCAAAGACCTATTATTCCAAATATAATGACATGCCTGCTATTGAATTATTCGAGTTAGTCTTTACCGATGATATGTTCGAACGACTCACTAAAGAAACTTCGAAATATACTCAATTTAGAAATTAAAAAGATCCCGAAACAACACTATCAGAAATTCGTTGTTTTGTTGTTATTCTGATTTTGAGCGATTACAACCATTTACCGACAAAAAGGATGTACTGGGACATGAAAGAAGATGTTCACAACAAATTGGTGGCTCATTATATGCGAAGGAACCGATTTATTCAAATTCAAAAGTATATTCATATTGCCGACAATTCGCACAACAATCAACACCATTGATTCTTATGTTACAAGAACTAAAATAACCGAATTTGCCATATGTTTTACTGGTGTCTGTGTTAATGCTGGCGTACAACCATTAAGACAGGTTCGGAGATATTCTCAGAAAGAAAAAAGGTACATATTAGTGCCTCGGCCTCAATGCATTAAAGCTTATAATAATATTATGGGGGGAACTGATCTTATGGACCAAGGAATAGCTGCTTAACCAATTGGCA